GGGTGTCAGGGCAATCAAAGATCGAGAATATAGTCTGCAAGACTGAGAACATGACCTTGAATTAGGAAAATTCTCAGGATTTTGATACTAGAAGTGTTTATTTGCTTGGAAACAATATTTAAAACGTGAAAGTGAACTCATTTTAAGTTGCTTCTAATGTTATTTTTATTAAAAATGTCTATGAAAAGGAAATGCAAGAAATCAACTCCTGATCAAGAAATCAACCACTTCAGATTCAGTGGTATTTCATATCCGATACAAAATTCTCAAAATCATCATGAAAAAGAGAAAAAAATCGATACCATAACAAATAAAATTAAAATTTTTAATTTACTAATATATCTCAAACTATTATGATATAATATTAAATGAATAATTAGAATAATATTGAGTCATTGTCTTTACTTTGGTGATGCGGGACTCATTGTCTTCACTTTTCTAGTTTGAAGAATTCTTTTTTTTTTTCCAACCATCCACTCTTCTAAGGACACATTTCACCCTCCTACTAATGTGATGTCCACGCACTTGGGCACCTTCTTTGCTTCAGTCGACAGGCTTCACATTTGGATGGCTTAATTGCATTTATATACCCTATTTTTTTTAAAGTTTACGCATAAATACTATCATTTATGCAAACACTAAAAATTCTCTTCGAGAACTCTTTTGTGAACTCGCGTGCTAGTTTAGAACTTTTTAATGCTTAATATTTATTAAATTTACTGTTAAAACTATCACAGTTTCATTTTAAATCTATCTTATTTCAGTTTCAAATAGGTTTTTAACAGGTCTAATAGTAAAATTTTAATAAATATTAAGATTTATAATGTTCTAAAACCAAAGCATATGAGTGTTGCATGAAAATTTTCGGTGAAAAATTCTCATATTTGCATAAATATGCAAATATGAACATCAAGTGCAAAATTTTAAAAACTTTACGGTGTATATAAGTGATGCCGAAAATAATTGAGGGTGTAAAAGTGCAAAGCAGGGGGAAGCGTAGGGTATTTAAGCGCAATTAAGCCCATTTGGGATCTAGGACAGCTGACTACATTAACGGTGGGGGGGCTTCTCTCCTAAATTATTTCATCTTGCCCAATGTCTTCTACAGTCATCTTCTCAACTCTCCTCCTCGCTATTCTCCTCCCTTCTTTAAACCAAACCCTAGCTTCAATCTCCCCTCAAACCCTTCTGAAATCAGCAAAGGAACCGGGATTCTTCGACTGGTTGAAGACCATAAGGAGGAGAATCCATCAGAACCCAGAGCTCTCTTTTGAAGAGTACGAGACCAGCGAGCTAATCCGATCCGAGCTCGACGCTCTCGGGGTTGAGTATTCATGGCCTGTTGCCAAGACTGGAGTCGTTGCCTCAATTGGGTCCGGAGATGGGCCCACTTTTGCTCTTAGAGCGGACATGGATGCTCTCCCTCTTCAGGTAATTTCGTCGAATGGGCTTCTGATGTCGTTTGAATTCCTCTTACTTGAGTTTAATTGCGGTAATTTTGAGTTGTTATCTCTGTAAGCGTAATTAGCTGACGAAGTGGAGAACTGGGCATGGGCGATTTGGGGATTTGAGGCTTTGATCGGATCTTGATCAAGTTCTAATCAAGTCAAAGGGCTGTCTTGAGTGGTTAGGGTTTGGATGTGTTGTCTTAAATTGTATTATTAACTGCAAAATAGTAAAAGATCAGTGGGTGCGAGGTTTTTAAGGCAAGAACCCGCAAGTTAGTTTTGTGCTCCCTGAAGAGATGGAGCCTAGATAGTAGCAGCTGAAATTTAGTTGGATTGGCCGAAAAGCTAAGGGTGTGTTTGGCAGATGCTTAAAACTGGAACCTGACGTGTGTGTGTAATAAAATTAGGCTCGTGTGTTGGATTGAAGGAGGCGCTAAGCTTAACACAGGAAAATGGTTTTCAATGTTAGAATCTCTCGACTCTGATGTTTTGTTGCCTGGTGCAAAATAGAGTTGGTCTCGGGTAGGTCGGATTGGGTGTTGGTCGATCCAAACCAACTGCACACCTACCAAGAAATATCACTTGAGTAAACTCTGAGCAGAAGGCACAATCAGCTTCCCCGCGCTATGAGGAATTCTTATGGTCCTAAACCCATCCAAACATCATTTTGAGCAGGATTGATTGTGGACACCCTCCATACAACAGTGCTTGTGAACGCGGATTGAGTGTGGGGGGGCCACTTCACGTCAACACCACTTCACGTGAACAAGAATTTGAAGAAGGCACCACTGATGGCCCACCCGATTCATTGACACTTATTCTGTTGCTATAAATACCCAGCTAGGGTTTAATTCGGAAGTTGTGCAATTGAGGGGTGCAGTGACATTTTTTTTTGGCGGCTGCAGGCTTGCAAAAGCAGAAGAAAGAAAAGAGCGCAGGAGGTTTGTGTGCGGCTGCAGTTCGTGCAAAGAAGGAACAAAGTCCGTTTGTTTTGTTTTGTTTCTTTGTGTTTGAGCAGACCTTCTCTAGGGTTTTGTGCATCCTTTTGTAGAGAGATATTGTGAGGGATTTGAGAGTGTTTGAGGGCTTAAGTTGTAAGTGATTATAAACCCTAGTTGTAATCTCTCCTTCTAATAATAGATCTTCCCCCTCCTTGCCCCGTGGACGTAGGCAATTTGCCGAATCACGTAAAATTGGTTGTATCGCTTTTGTGTGATTTGTAATAGCTTTTAGGATCCCTCGACAGGTCAGTCCTAGAACTGATGAGAGGAAGAGCCGATATCTCACACTTGTTGAAATATTCGCTTCAGATTCTTGTTTCCTTGGTGAGACGGAAATTCTTATTGCGATCTGACTCTCTTGTTGTGCTGTCGAAGTGCTGTCAAAATTTTCGCTGCGCGTAACAAGTGGTATCAGAACCCAGATTTCAGATCTAGGGTTTTGGAGTTTGGTGGAGAAAGATTTTTTTTTGTGTGAAGCTTGGTTCTTGGAGTTCTAGGCTTCGGTGAAGATAGCATTAGGAGTTACCGTTGGAGATTTTGTTTTTCTCGTGTGGATAGGAGATCTATTTGGAATCCAATCTAAGGTTTAGTTGGGTGGTTCCTAATTTCTATCAAATTTGTTCTTTCTCTACAATTTGGAGTTAGTTTGTAATGGGAGAAGAAGGTGAAAGCAGCAAATCGATGACGAGTACAATACAAGTTGGTTTTCAGAACACTAAGATTAGTGTAGTGAAGTATGACGGTAAAATCAACTTTGGTTTGTGGATGAGCGACGTACAGGATGCGCTCAATGCTCAGAATTTGGAAGAGACCATCATGGTCCACTGTAGGCGTCAAAAAATGCTAATAGATATCCAAACATAGAGAAGATCATCCAAAAGTCACAAGAATGAACCTCATACTGTCTTAGAAAAGAAATCAAGGCAGATATGAACTATCTCGCCAGCGAGACAGTGTTTACTGTCTCGCAGCGAGACAGAGTTTACTGTCTCGCCAGCGAGGCAGCTTTGAAATGGTCAGAAACCACCTTAATAACCACCGCACACGTGTCCATTAACTGCCAAAGGACGTGGAAAACATTGTGGGCGAAAATCACGTGAACAACTGCCAAAATAACGGAGTTTGAAACGTGGGACAGCAGTTACATTAAAAACTGCCAGGAAAGCATAGCAGGTTTGACATTCTTGGTTTCACCTTGGACTGCAGCCTTGTGTGAACCCAGGGGCGTCACAGCCGTCGAGACAGTAAACACTGTCTCGCAGCCTTAACGTGTTTGTTTTGTTGTGTTCTTCAGTTACGTGTCCCAGAGGCTATAAATACCCCCTAGGGTCACTACTGGCGAGGATCAAGCATTTTATCGAGTGATTCAGAGCAGAGAGAGCAGACGAAACAGTTCTTTGTGTGATTCCTTGAGATTCGAGCTTTGACTTGATCTTAAGAAGAACGATCGTCTTACTTTGATAAGATCTTCGTTTCAAATTCTCACTTCGATAAACAAAGGAAGAATCATTAAACCCCTCACAATCTGTGATTTGGTGGTCCACGAGTCAAAGCGCTCCCGGCACAGGCAAAGTCCCACAAAGCAAAAGTCGATAAACGATTTTTGTGTTATTTTCCAAGAGAGTTGTAATTTTCTTAATTTTTTATTGTAATTTTCTGTAAACAATTTAAGTTTTAATGGAATCATCAATGAAAACAACTTTCGACGAAAACATCCACGAGAAGCCACCTAAATATGAAGAGGCGGTATGAGAGAAGATGAATAGGAACGCGTGTGGGGTGATCAGGTCCTGTTTGGAACAGAAACTGAAATATGATGTGATTGGGGTGACGTCTGCAATGAAGATGTGAGAAATTCTCAACAACAAGTATCTCACGAAGAGTGTTGAGAACATGTTGCACTTGCTGTAAAGACTCTTCAGATTTCAGATGTCCAGAGGCACCTCACTAGCGGCGCATGTGAACAACTATACTAAGTTATTGTCGGACTTAGCAAATGTTGATGAGAAGATATCGGATGAGTACAAGACGATTATTTTGTTGGGCTCCTTACCGGATGAGGAGTATGATACCTTCGTACTCACTTTGTTGAACGGGAGATCTTCTATCAGCTATAGTGAAGTGACTAACGCATTGACTAATTACGATTTGAGGAGGAAGGATAATGAGACTTCCCGTGCTAGCACTTCAGGCGAGGCCTTGTCGACGAGAGGTAGAAGCCCATATCCGAAATGTGGTAATAGAGAGGTCAAAGTCAAGAAGCCGTCACCAATTAACAAAGAACCAATGTGCATTCTGCAAGGAGCAGGGACATTGGAAGAGAGACTGTCCGAAGCTCAAGGAGAAAAAGAATGGCAAGAAAAATGGACCGAAGGCCAATGAGGTGAATATTGTGAAAGACGATGATTCCGATGATTCGTGTTTTTCTCTACTGATTACTCCGGAGGTGAACCATGTGGATGCATCAGATTGGATGCTTGATTCCGGCGCTATCTATCATGTGACCCCTAGGCGAGATTGGTTTGCATCTTTTGAGAAGCTCAATGGGGGAGTTGTTATGGGAAATGATCAATCCTGTGGTATTTGTGGGATAGGTACTGTGCGGATCCGGATGCACGATAGAGTAGTCCGTGAATTGAAGGAGGTGAGATTTGTTCATCAACTGAAGAAAAATCTTATCTCAGTTGGAGCTTTGGAGGCGAAGGGATTCAAGGTGACTTTTGAAAACGCTGTAGCGAAGGTTACTAAGGGATCATTGGTGGTGATGAAGGGAGTCCGCAATCAGAATTTGTATTATCTGAAGGGAAGCACCGAGATTGGCCAGGTTGCTTCGGCTATTTCAGAAGCGGACATGAGCAGACTTTGACACTATAGGTTGGGGCACACAGGTAAAAAGTCACTGCAGGCATTGTGCAAGCAGAGGCTATTGAAGGGAGCTAATAGTGGGAAGATTGAGTTCTGTGAGCACTGTGTTCTTGGTAAGAAGACGAAGGTGAAGTTCGGGACTGCCATTCATCAGACGAGGGGCATCCTGGACTACGTGCACACAGACGTTTAGGGTCCCACCAAGACTGTATCACTTGGTGGTCGATATTGGTTCGTCACGTTCGTTGATGACTATTCTAGGCGTTGTTGGGTGTACACCATGACGAAGAAGAGTGAAGTCCTAGATTTATTTATGGAGTGGAAAAAGAGATTAGAACTGCAGACTAGGAGAAAGATCAAGATGTTGCGATCCGACAACGGTGGTGAGTATACTTCTGACCCCTTTCAGCAGCTATGTCGAGACGAGGGCATAGAGAGACACTTCACAGTTAGTCATACACCACAGCAAAATGAGGTGACAGAGAGATTGAATCGGTCTTTACTGGAGAAGATCCGATGCTTATTGTCGCAGAGTGGTTTGGAGAAGATCTTTTGGACTGAGGCACTTACATATGCGAGCCACCTCATTAATAGGCTGCCTTCATCTGCGATTGAGAGGAAGACCTCAATGGAGAAGTGGTCGGGAGAGCCAGCACATGACTATGACCAGCTCAAGGTATTCGGGTGCCCTGCATTTTATCATGTAAGAACTGATAAGTTGGAACCTCGAGCTAGGAAGATCATATTTGTAGGATTCAAGCGTGGTGTCAAGGGATACAAGCTTTGGGATCCAGTTGATAAGAAGATTGTGCTGAGTAGGGACGTCACGTTTGATGAGGCTTCTATCTTGAAGCTTCCCAGCTCTCATCAGGTGGAGAGCGACCCGACAAAGGAGATATCGCAGGTGGTGGAGATCGATGCAGCTTCACATTGTCCAGATGGTACAGTATCCATTAGAGTGCCGACTGAGGTGACGTCAGGCGAGCACGACGATGACACGGGAGATACGAGTACTGATGTGCAGGATCAGGGACCGACGGTTCAGGTTCAGGATTCGATTGCGGTTCGGAGACAGAGGAGAAACATACAGATGCCAGCACGGTATGCCGACACAGTTGTGTATGCACTTCCGGTGGAGAGTATCGATGAGTTGATGCCTACTACATTCAGAGAGGCCGAGCAGAGTTCGGAGGCTGATTCGTGGCAGGTGACTATGTAGGAGGAGATGGAATCTCTTCATAAGAACGATACATGGGAGCTTGTTGAGCTTCCAAAAGGGCGGAAGGAAATTGGTTGCAAGTGGGTATACACGAAGAAGGAGGGCATTGAGGGCACTCCATTGAGGTTCAAAACTAGGTAGGTTGCGAAGGGCTATGCACAGGAGGAAGGTATTGACTATAATGAGGTCTTCTCTCCGGTGGTGAAGCACTCTTCGATTCGGATTTTGCTAGCTTTGGTGGCACAGTATGATTTGGAGTTAGATCAGTTGGATGTGAAGACGGCATTTCTTTATAGTGATCTTGATGAAGAAATATATATGACTCAGCCATTGGGATTCCGAGCTGCAAGGAAAGATAAGTTGGTTTGCAGGTTGAAGAAATCGCTATACGGTTTGAAGCAGTCTCCTCGACAGTGGTATAAGCGATTTGATGGTTTTATGATTGGTCATTCGTACACTCGGAGTCAGTTTGATCCTTGCGTATATTTTCGCAAGTTGAAAGGAGGTGCGTACATTTATTTATTGTTCTATGTCGATGACATGTTGGTTGCCTCTACTTCCAGGTCGGCTATAGATGAGTTAAAAGTTCAGGTTTCAAATGAGTTTGAGATGAAGGACTTAGGTGAGGCTAAACGCATTTTGGGAATGGAGATTGGCAGAGACAAGAAGAAAGGCAGAATTTGTTTGACACAGGTGGCTTATTTGAAGAAGGTTCTACAGCGATTCCATATTAGTATGGATACGAAGCCAGTTGATGTACCTTTGGGAGCCCATTTGAAGCTTTCAGCTGGTGTTTCACCAAAGTCAGTTGAAGATCGTGAGTTGATGTCGAAGACTCCATATGCGAGCGCGGTTGGGAGCTTGATGTATGCGATGGTATGTACAAGATCAGATTTGTCACAAGCAGTAAGCATGGTATCGAGATACATGCAAGATCCAGGAGTGGGTCATTGGGACGCTGTGAAATGGATTTTGAGGTACATTCGAGGTATGCTCAATGTTGGTTTAGTTTATGAGCGGGACACTACAGGTGGGCAGTTATGTATTGGTTACGTTGATTCGGATTATGCCGGGGATTTGGATAAACGCCGGTCTACTACGGGGTATGTGTTTACTTTGACCTCGGATTATGCCGGGGATTTGGATAAACGCCGGTCTACTACGGGGTATGTGTTTACTTTGACCCGTGCGTCGGTGTGTTGGAGAAGCACCTTACAGTCTACGATGGCTTTGTCTACGACGGAGGCAGAGTATATGATAGTTACGGAGGCTGTGAAGGAGGCTATTTGGCTTCGAGGACTTTTGGAGGAACTTGGTATATCGCAGATGTCCGTCACTATTTATTGTGATAGCATGAGTGCTATCTATTTGGCGAAGAATCAGGTTTTTCATGCGAGGACGAAGCACATTGACGTTCGTTATCACTTCGTTCGGGATGTTCTTGAAGATGGTGATGTGGAACTTGTGAAGGTTCACACGAAGGATAATCCGACGGATATGCTCACTAAGGTGGTTCCGAGCAACAAGTTTGATCATTGTCGAAACTTGTTGCACATTCTTGATTGTTGAGGCCGTTGATGGCCATTTGGGTGAACTACGTTCAGCTTGATTCCTTGGGCAAGAGGATACGTAGGTAGTCTTTCAGATGCAGCCGGTTTGGATTATTTGATGGGAGGTGAGATTGTTTGGACTCTCGTTCGGGTTCTCGACTTGTTATGGATTGAGTTCGTACTGGACACAATAAGTGGGACATTTGGTTGCTTTGGTGTCGGCTCAGTTTTAGAAAAACTTCGCCGATGTGGAGAATTGTGAACGCGGATTGAGTGTGGGGGGGCCACTTCACGTGAACACCACTTCACGTGAACAAGAATTTGAAGAAGGCACCGCTGCGTGATGGCCCACTCGATTCATTGACACTTATTCTGTTGCTATAAATACCCAGCTAGGGTTTAATTTGGAAGTTGTGCAATTGAGGGGTGCAGTGACTTTTTTTTTGGCGGCTGCAGGCTTGCAAAAGCAGAAGAAAGAAAAGAGCGCAACAGTGCTGTAGCTACTTATGCCCTCTAAACTTTTTCATCAGCCCTTACACCCTGTGAAACTTAGACAAGGTTACTTTTGCCTTCAATTAGAGGGAAATTTAGACTTTTTTGCAGTTGAATCGTGAGCAAAAAATAATTTATCATCACATGCTCACATGACATCTCATTGTGACTTAGGAAATAATATCGTTCGAGGTGCAGGAGATTTATGTTCTACTAGACTGCTATAGGGGGTTAAGCGGGAGATTACATAATGACAATTAAACTATCAACAGATTTATATTTCTTTTACAAGATTTCTAGCATTTCTGCCTTAGTAAGTAGTCTAAACAAAAGACATCATACCATCAAAACCTGGGCTTTAAGTCACATAAATTCCTCTATAAAGAAATCTAGGTTTAAGTTAACCTGGCCAACATTTTCATTGAAAACACAAAATACCTAACAGACTTAATAATCCCATGCCTACTGAACAAGTGTAAGCAGTTTCCCAAAATTTTCTATGAGAAACACACTGTTTGAAATTGACCAAAGCCAACTTGCATATTTTTCAAAGAACCAGGATAATTCCAAAATATCTATATGTTGGTTACAAAACATGTCATTAAGAAATCTACTGAAAGGAGTGAATGTGAAATACCAGACTTTTCAAAACTATAGTCCAATTATGAATGCAGCGTATGATCAAATCATTGAATCTAGGCAAATTAAGACTATTGAGAATTAACCATAACCTTAGGTTTTAGACGCAATGTAATAAATAGGAAATTTGATATTCTAAACTGGAGGTAAAATCCTAAAATAAAAGCATTGGCCTGAAGATGGATCCTATTTTACCTACAAGTTTTTACAACAGTTGAAATTGTAAACAACTGTTTGGATCCCTCTACAAATATAGGTAGTCTATCTCAGGGAATGAACAAGAAAATCAGCTTTTCTCCTATTTGCATTATGTTTAACCAGTTTTAACCCAAAAAGGTTACTATTAGCATGAATCAAACACCATTTTTTATTGTTGTATTTTGAATAAATAAGAGAACTAAGTTGGCAATTATTTAATATCTTTGAATGTTGTTAATTGGGAAGGAACTCGTAGATTGGGACTACAAAAGCAAGCAAAGTGGAAAAATGCATGCATGTGGTCATGATGCTCATGTGACGATGCTACTTGGTGCAGCCAAATTGCTTCAAGAACGAAAGAACAATTTGAAGGTAAACCTCTAACATTGCGTCTTCAATTAGCTTTTGCTATGTACTATGCCGTATTGTTCCGTTTTAGATTACTTGGATTTATCCCCTTATAGGGAACCGTTAAGCTTGTTTTTCAACCGGCAGAGGAGGGTTATGCTGGTGCTTATCATGTGCTACAAGAAGGTATTCTGGACGATGTTGAGGGCATTTTCGGATTGCATGTTCACCCTTGGCTTCCCACTGGCACCATTTCCTCTAGATCTGGTCCTTTTTTTGCAGCATCTGGGCGCTTTTTAGCAACAATTAAAGGAGTAGGTGGGCATGCAGCATACCCGCTCCTATTCATAGATCCAGTTGTTGCTTCTTCTTTTGCTATTTTAAGCCTTCAGCAGCTTGTATCCCGGGAAACAGATCCTCATGAAAGCTACGTGAGTTAGTTCTCTTGCATCTACAAATTACAACATCACATTGTTATTACTAAAGTAGTTAGTATATTGTAGTAGTTTGTTTACTCTCATATTTGACTGTGTAATTGTATCCTACTTTACCTGATTACCTCGCTTTGGGATCAAGTCGCCTTTTAAAAAGAACAATAATATTAGGTTTAATATTGTATATTATTGATATAAAAATATTTTGTTAAAAAGAATACTTAAATTGATTTAAATAACTTGATTTTTCAAATATATAAGAATTTTCTATTGGAAGTTATTCCCTTATAATGATGACCTCTAAATCGATAAAATGGATGTTTGATTTAAATCTTTGATTAGAATTAGTCTCAAAATAAGTAGAAGCTAGCTTAGAAAATGTAATAGGGGCCAAAAGATAACATCAACATGTGTAATAACATATATTTAAGGAATTAAATGTGCAAATGAATAGTTTACAAGCCAACAAATATAATATGTAATTGTTCATATGGCGTTTACTATTAATCAATCTCCCTGATCAATTTTTAACGGTATAACTAACCAACTTATTTTATAATTATTCAATCAAATTCCACCCTTATTTAAATCATCTTGTATGTGTGACTGGAGTCATCATATTGTGTCCTCATCCATGTATAAGTTTTTCATCACTTCTGATATACCACAAATAACGCTTTCGCCCCTTACGACTAACACCTTATTTTCCTCCATTGGCAGGTTGTGTCAGTTGGATTTATTAAGGCTGGAGAAGCTCACAATGTTATTGAAGATACTGTGACATTTGGAGGCACTTTTAGGAGCATGACTACTGAAGGGTTATCTTACCTTATGAGACGGATCAAAGAGGTGGTGTAGTCTGCATACGTTTTAAATCCATCATGCCTGTTTAATCTTTCACTCTTCATGTGAACTTCTTATCCTTGCTTAGTTTGTACAATTGATCAAATAATAGAATCGTCTGAAATCATTCTGAATTATAAAAAAATAGAGCTCCGTATTATTTTGATCTTGCTGCGGGTGCAAATGGTGCCACCCTAGTATAGGAGCTGAACACTATTTTGATCTTGCTGCGGGTGCAAATGGTGCCACCCTAGTATAGGAGCTGAACACTTGAGCTTAATCCTTCCCAACATAGGAAGTGCCAATAGACTTTTTCTGTTTATTCCATGTACATGGTGATTAGTGACAAATTAAAAAGATTATTTTTGTGCAGAACCTGCTGTTGAGTTTTGTCGCTATCATACATGTTGACAATTTACTTCATTTCATAAATTCTACAATCTCTTTGTTAAATATATAAAATTAGATTTGAAACATCTCCTACCCAATATATAAAATTAGATCTGAAACATCTTCTACCCAATATATAAAATTAGATTTGAAACATCTCCTACCCTTTATTCCCTATAAAGATATGAGCCAACTAAAATTTTCAACGGTGAATACTGACAAGGGCGGTGTTGTAGAACATTGACAAAGGAATAGAATAAGGTTTGAGTCAATGTTGAAAATATGTGTAAAATGTGTTAATTTTTTAAAAACCTTTTAATGAAATTTCAATGGAAAGCATGTCGTCTAGCCTATATTACCCTTTCTCCATCATGTTAATATAAAGATCATATATTAATTTCCTAGTTTTCCATCTGGTGATGATCTAGCATAATGTGGCTTAAGGAAAAAAGTACTCAGTGAGCTGGAAATGTCATTTTCTAGTCGTATAACTATCCTAATCCTTGTATTACTCTCACCCAAGCACAACCTTATAATTACAAATATAGTCTGCTGACAGGTCTTGATATTGTATGAAGTCATGCCCATATATCTCTACCTAATAACCCATTTGATAGTTTTCTGAAAAATTTCTCGCTACAGATCATAGAGGCACAGTCCACTGTGCACCGATGCACTGCCACGGTAGACTTCATGGAGAAGGACCGGAAACCCTATCCTGCAACCATCAATGATGAGAATATGTACAACCACGCAAAAATAGTCGGTGAGACCCTCTTAGGGCAAGAAAATGTTGAGCTGAGCCCAATGGTAATGGCAGCGGAAGACTTCAGTTTCTATGGAAGTAAGATGCAAAGTGCTTTTTTCTCCATTGGTAGCAGAAATGAATCTCATAGGGGTGTTTACCCTTTGCATTCTCCTTATTTCTCTCTGGATGAGGGGGTGCTCCCTATTGGAGCGGCGTTTCACGCTTCAGTTGCGATTTCTTATTTAGATCGTGCTTCTTCACAGGTGTAAATGTTAATAAATGAAAATAGTTTGGATATTGGTTTGGCCACTGTAAAACTCTTTTGGATTATAGTTGTGATAGCTGTATAACAAGCATTTGTTTTGGTACGTGTCACAGGTCTCTTTTAAGAGTTCCTCTTCTGTTTGGAGTTGATGATGCTCTGTAATTTGATGGTCCTGCAGCCTGTTGTTTTGGTTGGACCATGTTGGTTATGGTGATAAGTTTTAAACCATATGCTTATTTATGAGTATCAAATAGGCAGGGAATGCATGCGCTTTCTGATGAATCGAAGGTAAAATATCAAATAAGCAGGGAAGGCGCATGTTTACTACTGAATTGGAGGTGAAGGAAAAGATACAGATCCCATCTCTTATGTCCCAAAATCAGTACATTTTTCATGCAGGAAACGTTCTGAGCCTTTCAATTTGTTGAATTAAGGTTCTACCGTTACGAGGAAAAAGTAGATGGAGAATTGAAATTTTAAGCCCTTTGCAGATGAATTTTTGCACGTTAAGTGTTAAGGTAGGATTTGGATTCAGATTACACAGTAGAGTTTCTACACACACACACACACGAGGAATCGATATTCCAATATATGATTGTTTATCTCATTGTTATTAGATTTCAACCGCTAGCAGACTAATATGTAATGTCATTTATAGTTTACTAGTTGAAAGAACAGTTTTTTTCATTCATTTGAAAAATTTCTCGCAAAATTGAAATTCATTTCCTTAACAATCATGTATTAGCAATAAACACATGATACATGTGATTTGATCATCTGTCACATTTACAACAAGGGCATGTTTGGTTGGCCTCTTTTTAGCTCGGATGTTGCCGTAGATGTCAGGCTACGGTAACTTTCAAGCATAATGTTGTTTGTTTGGTTAAATTGGAGGGTAATGTGGCATTAAAAAATCCCACTTGAGTTGGTTGCCTCTATGCAAGCTGCATACTTGGTTGCCTCTATGCAAGCTGCGGGTCTATGTGGTCTATGTGGACGATGATTTTCCTAGATGCAGTTTTCAATGGTTTGATAAAAAAAAAAAAGCCAAACAGCCCCTGGACTTACGTACACAACCTCTTGTTTAACTATAGTCACACGTGTGAGTCTCAGACTATGACAACGTCAAAAATACTGTTACATAAATTTGAGAGTCTGATACTGACAAAAATACACCTAATACAGTAAATGTAGTGATGTCTTTTTAAGGAATGTGGACGGCCTGAAGCTGCTATACCAATTACCATCCGATGACTCTAGATCAAAATTGCAAAATTCGGAAGTTGGAGGGTTTGAATGGCGAAAATCAATTACAAAATTCTGAATAATTTTCTCAAATTGGGGGCTGTTTGGTTCATTTCCCATGTATTGGGAAATACAATTATATGTAAAAAAAAATCTAAGTTTTGGATTTTCCAATTTTTTTAAAGAAATATATTGTTTGAGTTTGTTTATTGCCTATATATATACCTGTGTTTTTCACGAAAAATTTTCATTTACATCATATTTCTGAATCCTAGCAGCCACCCCTCCTCTCAAAAAACCTAGAGCATATGTCGGTAAATTTTGAAAGAGCTTTGTGAAACAAATACCGAGAAGATGGTGAGATCGTCGGCGTTTGGCGATGGAGAACCTGTTTGCTTGCACCCTTGGATTTTTTAGCAGCGTGTTGAGGCAAGATCATCTTCCTCCAACCCTATCCCCTGTAGAAATTCATATTTGTAATATGTATAATTGGTTAATCTAATGTGTAGTGCTTATTTTGATGATTTTTAAATCCTAGTTTTGATGTTAAATCTTAAAAAAAATGAAGAGATCAGAAGAATTTATCTTTAATTGATAAAAGTAAATGATCATGATCATTAGTTTTTCAGATTTATTGTTAATTCTTGTTTTACATGGCCTAAACCTTGATTGTCGATGTATGAAAACTTGAGGCTTGAACATGAAACAATATGATGATATGAGTTTATGGATTAAAAACCCTAGTTTAATGTGTAGATTTGTGAATAAAATCACCAAATGAAGAAAATATATTAAGTTGATGTTTAGATCCATGTTTAATTGCTAAGATGATGAACTAATTAGGTTTTGAACCCTAATTGTACAAACTTAATCTGATTAGTTATGTTTAAAGTATTTTTTTAAAACTCCAAAGATCATGTTATGATGATAAATAATTGTTTGGTCAAACCCTAGTATGTTAAACACATTAGTAAACATGTTTTTATACCCCATAATGATGTTCTATAAGTTCTTTTTGTTGAAATTGTCTCAACTTCACTAGACTCAAACCTGAGTCCTGGACTCTGGTCGGTCGACCGAACCCTGTGCATCGGTCGACCGAACCCTGTGCATCGGTCGACCGACCCCACCCTGAGTTTGTGTAATTCTTTATTCGACCGAAGCTTATTTTTACACATGTTTATGCGAATTGGTAGTCGGTCGACCAATGCCCTAGGGCAGTCGACCGACATCATGTCTTGTTTGTAATGATTCTTCTTGCACGTTGTTCGTGAACACGGGGTTCGAGACGTACAACGATTTACATGTACGATATAGACGTACACCTATAGAGGCTTCGCACACACGGGCTTCCGGGAAGGGGATAGTTGCGTGTATTGTTTTTACCACGACGGGGAGACGATTAGTTAGAACAATATATGTGTGTGTATGGATACCGTTGATGGGCACAATGTTGAATATCATATCTCCATGAGAATATTTTGATGATAACAATTTATACAATGTGTGCACTAACTTTTATATGCAGATTTCAATATCAGAATATGAACAAGTGCAAGTTGATTTCAATGCATAATGAAGTGAAGAAAATGAAGAACATATGAGATAATGTATTTTACATTTTCTTTACTTAGAATTTTTGTACAAGCCTTGATCACACACACGCACACACACAATATTAGAACACACTAACACAGGCTTAGTGTGTTGGTTAACTATAGAAATCCCCTATGTTAACCATTAGAATTATAGTTAAAACTTGAGTATAAAAATCTTTTATATCATAATTTCTACTCTTAATAGTCGACTAATTAGAATAGTAGTCGACTACTCGTGTATAAAACTTAAATATATGTTTCTGTCATTTTACAGTATAGTCGACTAATGTAGATTATAGTCGACTACTCAGGTGTTTGACAGAAACATAAGTTTCTGTCATTTTACAGTATAGTCGACTAATCAACAATATAGTCGACTACTGAAGGCAAATTTCATTTTACAAGTTTCTGTCAAAATACAGTGTAGTCGACTAATGAGCATTGTAGTCGACTACTGAGAAATTTTTTGAATACACAGAGTCTGTTTGAACTCAGTGTAGTCGACTAATCTGTATTGTAGTCGACTACAGATACAGTTTTTCCAGATTTTAAAGTTTGAATTTATGACTGTTTATAGCCGTTTTAAACGTTTTTAAATGTTTTTAAAGTTCAAAAAATTGTCAGATTTTGAGAAAAAGAAAAGTTTCTGAAATTGCCTCTGAACATTATTCAAATACTTATTGTTTAGGCAATTTACAGAAGTTAGAATCATTCCTAAGCCACTACTACACTACACTACAAATCAAGGCTTATAGGAATTGAAATTGTTACTTCAAAAGTTCTCTCAAGTTGTGAGAGGTGTTAATCTCTTGGTTTAGAGATTGGTGTGCAAATTGGCAAGGTGTTTGTCAATTGGTGTTGTAATTTACAGGGACTTGCAAATTAGTCAGGTTTACGTTTTGATTTTGTAAGTTTATTCAAAATTATAGTGGAAACTCTCAAGCGGGATTTGCTTGGGGACTGGATGTACACCGGATTGGTGGAACAAGTATAAATCCTTGTGTTTGTGATTGTGAATTTCTGAGATTGCCATTTTTCTTTGCAATTTATAATCTACTTTGCATAAATTTTAAAAGAATACTATTCACCCTCCCCCCTCTAGTGTTCTAGTGTATCTATTTCAAATCCTACATTTGGTATCAGAGAAAGATGAAAGATGGCATCGACAAATACTTCACAATTCAAAGAAGGTCACTCAACAAATCGTCCACCAATGTTCGATGGATTGAACTACAATTATTGGAAGTACCGAATGAAAATTTACCTTCAATCAATTGGCTACGAACTTTGAAACATTGTGGAAACGAAATATGAGAAGCCAACAACTCCATTTATAGAATGGACTACTTCCCAAAGAAATAATGCAATTTTGGACTCAAAAGCAATGAATGCATTATTTTGTGCACTTGATAAGAATGAGTTCAATAAGGTGTCAACGACCACTTCTGCATACGATATTTGACATACACTTGAGGTAACTCATGAAGGTACAAATAAAGTTAAAGAATCTAAAATTTCTGTTCTTGTGCACAGATTTGAATTGTTCAAGATGAAGGAAAATGAGACTATTGGAGAAATGTTCACAAGATTCACCGACATCACAAATTCTCTCATTGGTCTTGGAAAAACATATACACAAGTGGAGATGATAAGAAAGATACTTCGATCACTTACTCCACAATGGGAAAAGAAAGTTACCGCTATTGAAGAAGCCAATGATTTGTCAACTCTTACGGTTGAAAATCTTATTGGTAATCTTATGGCATATGAAGTTCAAATTAAAGATAGAAAGAATGATGAAGAATCAAAGAACAAGAAAGTTCTTGCATTCAATACTATTTCCGATAAAGAAGATGCAGATGATGATGATGAAGAAATGGGCATGTTTGCACGAAAATTTTAGAAATTTATAAAACGAGGTAATTTTAAATCTAAGAATTCAATTTCAAATAACACTTTTTGTTTTAAGTGTAATAAACCAGGTCATATGAAGAAAGATTGTCTAATGTTGAAGAATAAGCAAAAATCAAGTTATTTCAACAACTTCAACAACATTCAAAATAACAAGAAAAGAAAAGCAATGACAGTCACTTGGGATGATAGTGATGAGTCATCTTCAGATGAAGAAATTGAAGAAAATGAAAGTGCTCACATGTGTTTTATGGCACAAGATGAAGTAAGTGACAATGAAGAGCTTTTAGATGCTTTCAATGAATTATATGAAACTTTTGTGAGATTAAAGACATCACATAATTTTCTTAAAGGTGAAAATAAAAGATTACTTGAAGAAATTTCTGATTTAAA